ACACAAATTTCAAAACACAATTCCTTATCTTAAAGTGAAAGAAAGAGGAAGGAAGAAAAGGTAGAAGAGGAAAAACATATCCAAGGAGGGGAGAGCAACTGCAGGCAAGAGGAAAAGGGGGCTTTCTGCTACAGTAGCACACCTGCCCTTCCCACCTGGAGGACATCTCTGGCCCAGCCCCCCTGGCAAGGAGAGGCTGGTACAGCCTCTGGCCCCAGCCCACAGCAGGCAGCCTGCCCTTGCCCTGCACACAAATCTGGGGGGCACATGCCCCCCCATTCCTCCCCCTGGGATGCATGCAGCAACAGGGAGCTGTTTCCCCCACCCCCCATCCCTGTGCACCGCCCTGAATGAGGATCCATCCACTACCCCAGCTGGGCAGTACCTGCCCCAGCCCATTCCCTCCCTCACTGCAGGGGCTTCGGTTTGCCCCCCCACTATGCCCCTTTCCTCCCTCAGGCTCCTCCCCCCCCACCGCCCCGATAGATTTACCAGCTGGATGCTGCTCTCCATGCTGTCGGGCTGCATATCGACTATCAGATCAGTATCAGCTGATATGGCTGGTTAATAATTAGCCATCGGTATTGGCCAAAAAAATCTTTACTGGTGCACCCTTAATTAAAAGTGAAGTTATGAGTAAATGTAAACTGAGACTTGTTTAGGAAGCACTGTAAATGAAAGTTGTCTTATCCAATCATTGCAGGTCTAAATGTCTTAAATATTAGGCGATCTGCTATCTATTTGACACTTTCACTAAATTTTGGTTGTGCGACTCTTCTAGCCTTCAGAAGCCTTAACCTGATGGTGACTGACTTGTTTCAAACAAAGTTATGTCAGAATAGGTATGTTTTGACCTATCCTAAATTCTGCATTAGTCTGCACTGTTCTGCACTACTTCACAACCTCTTGATTAAGCCTACTAGATAGCCATGTATGGACAATCAGGCAATAGTTTGTAATGGGGTTTTAGCGAACATTCTTTGTTTTTTTTCCTATGGGAGAGCTCTCCATGGCAGACATTTCCCATATATAGTGAACTATGGTCTGTCTGCACGTTAATGAACTTTAATGGAGGATTCTTTCATTCAGTAAAGATCAAAACATTTGACTGGCGTTTGTGCAAATACATTCTTGAAAAATCTGTTCAGTCACCTGTGAAATTACAGTGAAACTCACGTAAGTATTTTATGGAGCATTGATCTGCCTGAGAGAGTCAAGTTAGGAGTATCTGTTTCCCATGGGGAGGGAGGGAAGTGTGGGGAATTTTTCTGTGTTTATGGTGGTATTATGGTCATGGTTATAGTTCCTAGTGTTCATATATATCTTGCTGTTTCAATAATTCACGTCATCTCATCTGCAGAGTCTCCTGCTGTACCCAAGAACAATGTTCTTATGCTAAAAAATATCTTGTGCCTATTTGTAGCAGGAAATGTTTAGACCAGTGGTGGCCAGCTTGTGTGTGGCGTGTGGCAGATTGGGGAGGGGACATCAGCGGCAAAATGGCAAACAGGGCATGGAACAGAAAAGCAGCAGCATAGGCAGGCAGCATGGGGCAGGAAACAAAGCAGAGCAGCAGATCATTTGGAGAGCACAGGGAAGGAAGAAGAAAGAGCAGCAGATAGGCAGGGAAAGGAGGTCAGAGTAGTACTCAGGGAGGGTGCAGGGCTAATTTATGGTGCTTCTGCCAAGAGGGTCAATTCTCACTGCTTGAGAATATTGACTCTGAGAAACACACTCTTTAGGTAAGGGCCATCTCCTCTCTAGGCTGAAGTAACTGCTATTAGTTGGCAGAGGCCTTTGCTGAATAAAGAAGGTGAGATTCCTAGAATACATTCTCAGATTTCAGGCCTTTGCTCAATACTCTTTATGACCTAGTCAATTACTGTGTTTTCTCATGTGTAACACCCTTTTTCATCAAAACCAACTGAACATCCACTCTTAAGAAGTCCAGAAATATGGTGGCTATGGAGCAGCGGTAACATTAACTGGTGCGGCTATGGAAGCTATGACAATTAAAGGTACCACGGCTCCCCTGCCACTAAATTTCTAGACCCATGGAGAGCCCCTCCCCCCAGCTGGATGATGTGTTCCTACCTGCTAGACGGGGCAGTGCATGGGGTTGGTCTGTGGCTGGACTTCACACGTGCCCCTAGACTTATCTGGCATGCAAGACTGGCAACAGGTTTGGCTCCCTGGCTGCTACCACTGGTTTTCTTCTAGGAAAACTCTTTTCTTCACCCTGCCTTTAAAAACAAGATAAATATTATACCAGGGGGCCATGGTTTATGTCAGGGGTTCTCAAACTTCGTGATACTGCAACCCCGAGTGCTGGATGGTGGGGGACGGGAAGCTCGCATGTGGTAGCCACTGCTGCCACTCTGCACGACACTTCCCCACATCGCTGTGCGTACCCCTTGGGGAGTTTGCGGCCCCCTTTTTAAGTTGCTCGGTCACGACCCACAGTTTGAGAACCCTTGGTGTATGTGAACAAATACAGCATGAAATATTTAGATCTGTAGAATAATAAAGCAGAAAGTGAAGGGCTTTTCATTTTCTAATTGTTCATTGCCTGGCTAAAAATAAATTGGAATTTAGAACAGGTGACTGTTGCTGCATGGTTCACCACAAAGCTCTTACTATATCCCTTTTTGTCTTGTTTTCAGATGCTTTACATGCCTATTTTGGGATCTGTGGCCTGTCATTAATGGAGGAATCTGGCATTTGCAAAGTTCACCCTGCCCTGAATGTAAGCACCAGAACCTCAGAGCGCCTTCACCACCTCCATGAGATCTGGAAAACTAAGGACTCTAAACAGTGTTCAGATGACATGCATATCTCTACATGACTGATTTAGGCTCAAGTTTAGTGTCGTAGCATCACTGTAGCCCAGGGTTAAAAGCCATGTATAACCAATGTGCTCTTTAAGTGCTGGAGTCCTACAATCAAATCCATGTTCCGGGCATCACTTTGATAGCGGACAGCCTTTGGTGAGTTATTTGGCACTGGGGTAAAAGGAAATAATTGCAGTTATGTAGAAGTTCTTTGCTGCAGGCTCTGTAAAGGCTCTTCAAACAGCTTGTCCTTCTAAGAAATTCCTTGAAGCAAATTTAACTCTTCAGTTTATATTTTTTTTAATTAGTGCATACTGTGTCAAGCTGTGTAACAGGGAAAGTATTTTCAAAATCTGTTTACATATCATACAGTATAGCACTAAATTTTGGAGTTCTTAATGACCTTATTATTTGACACATTTTTGGGTAGAGAATCTCCTACATTAAGCCTCATTAAAGGTTACCTTTTTTCATCTACTTTCAGATTCCATAATCTTTGTAAAAAATAAAATAAAATAAAATTATTTTATTCAATATACAGTGGATTTCTAAAGTTATTAAAATATTCGTAATCTCCTTGCACAGCTCCTGCAACAAGGAAGTAGACCGGGATAGGCAACCCCTGGCACACGTGCCGATTAGTGGCATGCAGAGACATTTTCCCCAGCACACGAGGAGGTGTGTGAGGAAATTGTTTAAAAAATATATTTTTAGGGGTGGGACTGGGGCTTGAGCAGGCACTGTGCTGGGCCACTGTGCTGGAGGCTCCCAGTGGGTGGAGCAGCCCTAGGCTTGGCTGGGGTTAGGGCAGGCAGACACCCTGTCCCACCCAGGCAGGGGCAGCACCAGGGGACCGGGCGCTCGGGTATGGGCAGCATGGGGAGAAAGAGGCGCTGGGGAAAGGGCTGTGGGCAGGCCGGGCCAGCTGGGCCCCTGGGGGGGGGGG